GAGGGGTAGGGGAAAGGAAAGAAGGGAATGGAATTAATATGAGAAAATGAAAAAATTTAAACAAAGTTTTTGTAAATAGGGAGGGATGGAGGGGCTGAAGGGAGGGCAGGGAAAGGGGGAAAAAAGAAGAACCAAGAAAGATTATGTAAAGGTGCAAATTTCCAATGATGAATGTCATTACATTGTATACCTAAAATGTACCAGTAAAAGGATACACAGTTAAAAAAAAAAGAAAAGAAAAGAAAACAGGAAACAGGGAGACAGATCTTTTGCAGTGGGGAAGGGGATGGAGAGATGAAGGAAAGTGAGAAAGGAAGAGACATCGGGAAGTAATAAGAATCAAGATGTTCTATGTACGTGTACCAACTTACCAAGTAATTGGGAACTTTTCCTAATGTAATCATTGTGGACTGCAGACATGTATTGATCTAAATTTAAAAAATAGATAGCTACTGATTAAAAAAAAATAAAGTTTACACTGAGCACCTGCTACACACGAGGCCCGTTCCAGAGCGGCTCTGAACACTATTGTCTTGGGAGATGGCACATCCGGGGCTCTTGGAGCAGAGACACCCACCCTTTTGGGGGCGGGGCCATGGGCCGCTAGGACTGTCCCCCACCCCGTCATTCCCGCCCATGTGCCGGGGGCGTGGCTTGCGCGGAGAGTGGGCGGAAGCCCAAGGAATATACAGCTTCCAGCAATGGCTGACGGAGGCTGCACACCTTTGGCCCGGGCGCTCCTGCAGCAGTGCCTGCACGCCCGATTACAAGTTCGCCCAGCCGAGCAAGACGCCGCGGCTCAGTGGGTGGAGGTAATGTCAGCCTGGCAGCAACTCTCGTTATCCTCTGATGAGCAGGGTCGGCTCTTTACCCGTCGTCTGTGATTCGCATCTCCTGTATCCTCCTTCGAAGACCCTGGGAGCTCGGGCTTGTGCCGTGGGATGCACAGGACTTCGGGCCGGTGCTCCGGACACGGCCCACGGGGGCCTGCCTGGCTGCAATTCTTTCTGCGGTCCTGCACCTCTGTTACGGGCGCCAGACCTTGGGACAGAGGCAGAGGATCTCTCTGTCGTGGATCTGAACCTACTCTCACCCTCTGCCTACCTGAGCTCGGTGGACTTTTGGCCCGAGTGTCTCACCTGCTTGTGGCATGGACAGGTTCAAGTTTATAGGTTAGATTTGCTCCAAGAATTTAAGACCTGCAAACTGCTTTGACTTGTGTCCTATCTAATGTTGACTGTAACTTGGTGTTAGCATAGAAATGAGATTTCCCAAGAAACAATTTATTTTGTGTGTGTGTGTGTGTGTGTGTGTGTGTGTGTGTGTTGCTTTGTTCTGTAAGTTTTTTCTTTGTCTTGGTGCTGGATGATCAAATATAGGGCCTCACACATGCTGGGCAAGCATCCTACCATGGATCTTCAATCCCCAACCCAACAAACTCTTAAGTTTTTTACTTATTTTAAACTAAGAAACAAAGACTACTACTTTTATTATAATGTTGCATTATCGAACACATTTCCTCCAATGAAATTTAAAATATGTACAATCAATATGAATTTCTTATTGCATACTTGCCTTTTTAACACAGCCTGCCCCCTCTCCATTGCTAAAAGAAAATATTAAGTCCCTTGACATATTTTTGGAGTAAGTTGAAATATAAAGAAAATGTTAGGGGCTGGGGATTTAGCTCAGGGGCACGGCATCTGCCTCAAAAGTGCACGGTCCTGAGTTCAATGCCTGGTACCCCCCTCCCAAAAAAAGAGAGAAAAAAAGTTCATAATTAAGACTTGGAGGTACTCAGAATCTTCAGTGTAGAAGCTCATTCACTTATCTTCTCTGCTAAATTGGGTCCCAGATTTAGCACTTTTAAACACAATTCTAGTCGTTAGTTTAAATACTATCCATGAATTGTGATATGTGGCTATTCTTACATCGGAATTTGTTACCCTATGCTAATTTGGAAATATTTATAAACATTAAAATTTCCTGTATTTTCACCTCTCTTGAGATATTCTTTTTCCGTGTATCTTGTTTTTGTTAGAACTTTTCAATGAAGTTTTGATTTCTCTTCTGTATTTGAAATTTTTGGTTTTTAAACTAGTTATATTACCTATTTTGATTGTTGCCCTGTAGTGCTATAAATTCCTGATTATTAATCATTCAGTCTTTCCATGCTGCTTTATCTTTTTTATGTTCTTCGTGCCACATTTCCTCATTCAAAATCACAGATCTTTTATTGAAGCCTTCCAAACTATCAGTTTGTGTTTGTAAACTTCAAAAGCTGTTTTCAAAGGCTTTCCCTTCCACTCCCACACACACTAATTAAAGAGTTGACAAGTAATTAGATGGTGAGAAAGTGTAAATTCTTTCGTCTTTCTCACACATCCTGTACCTTGTTCTATTATCAAAGTTATTGTTTTTTAGAAATGTCTTAATTGTTAAAAGATTTGAAAGTTATTCTCCTTGTTCTTAGTTTCATTCATGTCGAATTTTGTTGTCATAGATTTTTTTCTTCCAGGGAATTGAACATTTTTAAGCTACAGTATGAATTGTGTGTATTTTTCTATAAATTTGAAATGTTTTATACCAAAGGAGCTACAAGGAAAGTGATTTTGACTTGAAGGAATCTATAAGTCACAATTTAAGATCTATTACTTGAATAAACAAAAACAAAGGAACGTAATGAGGAGATAATGTAGTATGTGGAAAGAACAAGTATCTATTTCTGCAAATAAATAAGTACTTAATTCTGACATTGCAAGTGTCCAGCTATGAATGTGCTGAAGATTAGGGTTTATGCTGGAAATAATATCAAAGGAGAAGCCTGTGATAGTGAAGTAGATTATCTGAATCATTCAGCTAGCCAGTGCCTTGTTATGAGTTGCACTGGAGACCCTTGTCTGACATTCCAGAAGCACAACTGCACAATGTTAAAACTGACTCCTTTAGGCTGGGTGAGGTGGGTGAGATTGCATCTGTAATCTCAGCACTCTGGAGGCTGAGGTGGGAGGATTACTTCGAGTTCAAGGCCGCCTTGGGCTACATAGTGAGTTCAAGGTTGTTAGCCTTAGCTATATATTGAGAAGCTGTCTCAAAAAAAAAAAAAAAAAAATCAAGTGTGAGTACAAAGCTACTTTTACATTGACATAGAAACCATTTATATAACATGTAGAGCCTGGAAGATACACTTGAATTTTAGTGCCATTAACAGATAAATCAGATCCCCACCCACATAAAAGTCTGTAAAGTGCTTGGAGGGTTAAAATGTGAAATAAATTGTGTTTATACCTTTAAATTTAATTTTTACATACTAATTTTTTGGGGGGGTACTGGGGATCGAACTCAGACCTTCTGCTTTCGAGGCAGACGGTGGAACCACTGAGCTAAATCCTCAGCCCTTTATATACTAATAAACACACATGAGCCAGGTGTAGTGGCACATGCTTGTAATTCCACTACTATGGGAAACTAAAATAGGATTCCAAGGTCTAGCCCAGCATGGGGAACTTAGTGACTTAGTGAGATTTTTGTCTCAAAAATTTTTAAAAAGTAAAGAAGAACTGAAGGCCGGGGATTTAGCTCAGTGGCCTTGTACCTGCATCCCAAGAGCAAGGTCCTGAGTTCGATCCCCTTTACCAAAAAGAAAAAAAAAAGAACTGAGAGTGTAGCTCAGTGCCAAGACCTGGGTTCAATCCCTAGTACCAACAGGTGGATGAATATATAGATAGACAGAGATCACCTACTATGAACCTTGCACTGTTCTAAGCACTTTACAAACATTACCTTGTTTAATCTTCTTAATAGTTCCTGGAGTCAGTGAGGCTTTTGGAGTTATCTAAGTTAATACACAGAATCAAAAGTGAGTGATTCACTTAGCAACAGAATCACATTTATCAAGTGTTTCTTATGGTCTCTGTCTTACAAGAGATAATAAATAACCCAGGCATTATATAAATTAAGTTTATGCTCCTGATGACATCCAAGCTGTCCTGTAAAACTTATTATCATAAATGTAACTTTCAAAGCCTGATCGTTATGTTTATTTAAAGCTTTTACAACAATACCAAAAAATAATTGGACAGTTTCCTGGAGTTGATAAAAAAAGAATCAGACCCTTATTTTGCTATCTGCAAATAAATAAATTAGGAAGAATAAACAGACAAAAGACATCAGTCACACTGTTGCTTATTCATCGGTCCTATCTGGTTTAATGGGAATTCATTTGGTATTGTATAAGCGGTCTTTGCAAACTAAATGTTTCTGAGTCCCAGTATCACTTTCTTAGTGGGAAGGAAACTGGTTGAAACTTCTACTGATGTTGAATAGAGGCAAATATTTGAAGGTATAACTTTGGTATTCACTGCTCTTGACTATTGAAGTTTAATTTTTGAAAGAAGTAATTCAAACTTGAAAAAGACTTTTTTTTTTCTCATACATTTATTTAGAAACCAAATCTATTGTAAATCTGATTTCTAGGATTGCTTGTAACCTCTGTGTTCATAATAGTTGTACCAAACATCTCTATATAGAATCTTTTCTAATTTGAGTTTACTGTGATTTTTCATAGATTCAGAGAGGATTAGTGATCTATGTGTGTTTCTTCAAGGGAGCTGACAAAGAACTTCTTCCCAAAATGGGTATGTTTGTCTGTCTTTTCTTTCTTTCTTTCTCTTTCTTTCTTTCTTTCTTTCTTTCTTTCTTCTATTGAAAAAAAATAGCAACATACATTTATGAACAAGGACCAAAAAGCAAAATCTTTTTTCTTTCCTTTTTGGATGTGTTGGAAGTTGAACTCAGGACCTTATACATGCTAGACAAATGTTGTACCACTGAACTACATCCCTACTCCAAGGAACACAAGTTTAAATTGTCCTGGTGTTTAAGTTATTAACTACTTACTTCCGTCTTGTGTTACTGGCTTTAGCTGTTCACCTATTGGAAAATTTAAAACATGCATGTATTGTAGACTTCTTTTAAAACACTACAACATTTCAGATGGTTTATAGATTGATTTAGAAGAATAAATACATGTAAACATACATATAACATAATTCAGCCAAGGATACAGAAAGTTGTTGGAGGCATAGTTGCCTTATAGAAAGAATTAGATTCTGCATTTCTTAAATAGTTTTCCTTATCCTCCAGATAAGAGTCCCTAAAAGAGCAGAAGATGACATGAGATGTATAAGGTGTGGGTCCCATCAAATCTGGAATAGCTCAGGCTTATATCATTGTTACAGAAGAATTTACATTAACCAGTTATGTACTTCTTTGTAGGAGATATGTATAAATACAATTCTCCTATTCTTGAACCACACTCTGTTGTGATAGCCACATCCCCTGCAGGGGTATAGAAAGATTCAGGAATCTTTAAACAGTAATTTACTTGGCTGCAGCCTTCTAGTATCCTGGACAATCTATAGTACTGCACATTCTATCTGATAATTTACACATTCATATAGACCAAATCAAATCACATGCTGTCTCAAAGCAGTACTCAGTTCTAACAATTATGTCCAGAAAACCCCCCAAAAACTGGGCATAGTGGTACATGCCTGTAATCCCAGCACTTTAGGAGACTGAGACAGGTGGATCCCAAGTTTGAGCCCAGCCTGGGCAACTTAGTAATTAGCAAGACCCTTTCCAAATAAAAAAAGGGCCGGGGATTTAGCTCAGTGCAAAGGCCCTGGGTTCAACCCTTAGTACCACAAACAAACAAAAAACTGAAGTAATTAATGGTGCTATCCCTAAAGTTAGGGACAATTTAAAGGGCAGCACCCATTAGCTATTTTAATAAATATAAGCTGGCACAGTGGCACTTGCCTGTAGTCCCAGCTACTCAGGAGGTTGAGGCAGGAGAATCTCTTAAGCCAAAGAGCTTGAGGCCAGCTGGACAATATAAATAAATATTGTCACAAATAAATAAATTATACAAATACATAATTGAAGTTTACAGAAGTTAACCTGGGAGAGGTTCAAATAATAGAACTCAGACAGACAGCCCTTTGAGAAACACCTTAGACAAATACCTAAAGCCTACAGAGGAAATTTTATATTGATAGATCAACATTTTTTTTTTTTGGTACCAGAGATTGAACTCGGGTCCTTAGCTTGCGAGGCAGGTGATAAAACCACTGAGCTAAATCCCCGGCCCCATAGATCAACATTTTTGACAACTTTGTCAAAGCATGAAAATGATACTTAAGAAAAGACATATAAAGATGAAAAACCAATAACTGTAATAGTTTGAAATTTTAATCCAGAGGATAGCAAGGAACCTTGGAAGCATTTAAGAAGAAAATGAGGATTAGGCCTGGTGGTGCATGCCTGTAATCCCAGCACTCAGGAGGCTAAGGCAAGAGGATCACCATGAGTTCAAGGCCAGCCTGAACTATGCAGCCAGACCCTGTCTCAAAAACAAAAAGAAAGAAAAGAAACTAAAATGAGGGCTTCTATTGTGGAGGGTAATTTGTAAGGTCCTTGTGCTGGAGTGTTACATATTCTTTTCACCCTTCTGAAGATATTTTGCCTTGGATTAAATCTTTATTGGCCATAAAAAAGTAGAATTCTGCAAGAGCAGAAATAAAATTTTTGTTATTCTGACATAGGATTGATTTTCGACGTTATTTCATGAAGGGTTAAATGGATCTTTATCATAATAGGATAAAATAAACCCACCAAGGGCTGGAGATTTAGCTCAGTGGTGCCACTGCCTACCTTGCAAGCACAAGGCCCTGAGTTCGATCCCCAGTACCGCCAAAAAGAAAAAAATATATATATATAATAAACCCAGCAAATCCAAGCTGTATTTTTGCCGTAAATTCCTGTGTGCCTCTATATATGTCTTTGTGAGTTCACTGCAGATACATCCATAAGATTGTGGTGAATTAAATCACTTAGGAGGTCTACTTTAACTCTTTTAGGGAATAGTATAACACAAAGGTTTATATGTCATGATTCTCAGTAAAGAATTATGTGACTATAAGAATCACATTCTGGGGCCAGGGATTTAGCTCAGTGGTTTCGCCACCTGCTGTGCAAGCGCAAGGACCCGAGTTGGATCCCTGGTACAAAAAAAAAAAAAAAAGAATCACATTCTGGCCGAACATGGTGGGGTACACCTATAATCCCACCACTCTGGGAGGCTGAGGCAGAAGGATCAAGTTTGAGTGCAGCCTGGGAAACTTAATGACTTAGCAAGAACCTGTCTCAAAATTTTAAAGGGGCTAGAAATGTAATTCATTGTGAAGGCCCTGGGTTCAATCCTCAGTATTGGAAAAAAGAATCACATTCTGCCAGTTTGAGTTACAAGCAAAATAAATACATCTGTTATTGATAGCATTGATACGTACTCCCTTCTAGCTGGCAGAGTATGTCAATGTGATGGGATTTTCTTAAATCCCACTTTATATTTATTACATGGATTCAAATCTTTCCAATCAAATCTTATATCCCTTGGGAGTATAACTAGTTGTATCCATCAAGTCTGAGATAGTATAGCTAACAAAGAGATGTTACACTCTTCCTCAATTCATCTTCAGTATAATTGGCTGAGTTCCAGGGATCTGTTGAAACTGCCCGTATACATCATTGGAGATATGTGATTGAAAACCTATCTTAGGATCTTTGAGTTTCCAGCATGATGTTAATTTATTGTCGCATTTTAATTCTATTTACTTATATTTATATTTTTTATTTTTATTAATACAGATTTACAGTACTTAATGATTATACTCATTATGGGGAGCTGGTGCATATACATAATACATCTTCATTCTTTTAATTTCCCCTTGTCCTCCCCACCCTCCTCCTTGTTTGCATTGTATTCACTTTTACATGCAGATATTTTTATGCTTACAGCATTAATTGAGTTCTCAGTTATAACCAGTAGAGGGAGGTATGTGAAAGTATAATAAATTGTATTATCGCTCATGGCCTATTATTCCAAAATTGCCTACTTTGTCACTAGCTTGAGGCCTAGATAGCAAGATAGTGATTTCCATTGGCATGGGAAGTGTTCTGGAGATCTACAGTTTCCTTAGGAATCAATAAGGATTCCTGGCTACATAGCAAAATCCTATTTGTAATGGAGAAAATTAGAGGCGTTTAAAAATAGATGTTAAGTGAAAATTGATGGTGTTTAAAGCATATCTTAGGAATTCATTTGAGTGCTTACCTTAGAAGATTTTTACCAGGTTAATTCTACAATTTATTGAATGGAGTAACCATACTGAATCATTAATAACATTTACTACTGATCCTCTAATAACTGAAACCATTGACCACACTGCCAGAAGGCATGACTCGTAAAGCCTAATTGGAGGCCAGGAATATGAGTATTATAAATTTCTATACTATTTGTCCTCTCAAGACTGTTATTTGCATGCAGAATTCATTTATACCTCTAAGAAATAGGAACACCCAAAGCTTATTTATACTAGACAGTTCTTTTGGTTATTGTTTTGAAAATGATTAATGTAAGGTATAAAAGCTAAGTTTAGGTTTTTAGCTACACATAGATATGTACAGTGGTTTTGACACTAGTTATGGTCTTATAGTGCTATAAAAATATTACCATGTTTTCTTGTATACATATGAAGATAGTGCCAGTAGCTCTGTACTTTTTACTTTTTCATTTGTAACAATGAATTTCATTTGTATGCTTCTTCCATGGGTTATATTTGTAAAAGAATTAGTCCATGTTAATAGTACCTTTAAGGTTATAAAACTACAAAATTAGCTAATTTATAATGGAATTGAACCTGGAAACTTTGTCACAGCCTAAAACTCTAGGTAGCCAAGTTTAAAATAATAGATGCATTATAATTTTTATTTAATATTCTTTGTTATAGAGCAGAATTTGGTATGAGAAGGATTTATCAGTCTTTTACAGTGAGATCTATTTTTGAAATAAAAGGAGCAAGGAGACAAAATATTTTCATATATTCCCAAGGAAACAATATTTAAGGTTCCATGTGCAGTTAATTCTTTGAAGTACTGAGGATTACTGAACCCAGGGCCTTCGCACTGAACTACATCTCCACCCCATCCCCTTTTTTAAACATTGAGACAAGTTCTCACTAATTCACTAAATTTCCCAGGCTGAGCTCAAACTCTGCAAGATGTGTAGTGCCTAGCTACCATTCTAGATGAATTTATTGTTAGGCAATGTTAACTGCCAAATCAGATTTAATAGCATGCTATTTTCTACGTGAAATTTGCATTATTTTTCCCACTTGGGTTAGTGTAGTAAAGCAGTTTTTAAAATTTAAATAAAGACTGTATGAGGATCAAGAGCTAACAAATTGAGTTCTAAACATGAGCTTTGCTAACTAAAAAATTTATGGTTTCCTTCATGTTTGTTTTTCACTTCAAAGTGTTTTGCTTTTCTTCCCCACCCAGTTAATACACTGTTAAATGTGAAGTTGAGTGAAACAGAAAATGGCAAGCGTGTCTCTGTACTGGATCTCCCTGGCAGCGTTCTTATCATCCCTCAAGCCACCCTTGGGGGCAGAATAAAAGGAAGAAACATGCAGTATCACTCTAACTCTGGAAAAGAAGAAGGATTAGAACTTTATTCTCAATTCGTGTCTCTATGTGAAAAAGAATTAGCTGCTAACAGCAAGTGTGCTGAAGCTGGGGTTGTAGTGGAACATGGCACTTACGGGAATAGGCAGGTATTAAAGATGGATACCAATGGACCTTACACACACCTAATTGAGTTTTGAAAAATTAAAAATTAATTTCCACAACAGTTTTCTAGTGTATAATGATCTGAACTATAATTTCCTTCCCCTTCGTTTTAAATATAATAATCTGCAACTTTTTTTTCTTTGTTGTAGTGGGGATTGAATCTAGGGTCAGGTAGACACTATGCAAGTGCTCTATCACTGGGCTATATCGCCACCCACAGTCTGCAGCATTTTTAGATAAGAACATCCTGGGTCCCCTAAACTACTGCAAATTGCTAATTAGATGACTTTGCCAAATCACCTAGGCTCTGGATCTCAATCTTTTGTCCTGCTTTCCTCCACCTTTCCCCTTGAAAACTTGAAAAATGCTGTCTGTTCATTTCACTGTCACTAAAAAAATCTTAAGCATGATTTTAAAATGATGAAATGGGAGCCGGGGATTTAGCTCAGTGGTTTCACCGCCTGCTGCGTAAGCAAAAGGACCCAAGTTCGACCCCCAGTACCAAATAAATAAATAAATAAATAATAAAATAAAATGATGAAATGTATATAATCAAGAAAAATAACATTTCTTATACCCTCAAATATATGCATATGTAATAAAAATAAATGTTTGTGTTAAAATTAAGTAAAATCCAGCAAAAATTATAACTTGGCCAATTTTATTTTACTATTTCAAATTTCTGGTTTTGTCGTTGTTGCTTTGTGGGAGTGTTGAACCCAGGGCCTTTGCAATAAATTACATCTCCATCCTTTTTATTATTTTTTATTTTGAGACAGGGTCTTGTTGCGTCACGAAATTGTCCAGGCTGGGCCTGAATTTGCCTCCCTCCTGCATCAGTCTTCTAGAATGTCGGAATTACAGGCATGTACCACCATGCCCAGCTAAGTTTTTTTGTTTGTTTTAGATTGTTTGTTTTCCAAGGCTTTGTTGTTTTTTTGGCTTTTTTTTTTGCTTGGTTTGGTTTGGTTTGTGGTGCTAGGGATGTAACACAGGGTCTCACATGTGCAAAGCACATATTCTACCAGTGAGCTCCATTTCCAGCTCAGTTCTCTATATTTTGAATGAAAGAATATATGACTCACTATTCCTTTTTATTTCTATGAAAATGTTATATGGTAATATTATGTATTGTATTACTTTCCATGGATATCCAAATGGTTTATTTTAAGAATCTTTAATACCCTATAAATATATATAATTATTATGTGTCAATTAAGATTTTTTGATGTTGTTTTGAGACAGGGTCTCACTATGTAGGTCAGGCTAGGCTTAAATTCACCATGTAACCCACACTGGCCTAAAACTCATGGCAATCAGCCTTCCTGCCTCAACCTCCTGAGTGGTGGAATTACAGGAGTACACCATCACACCTGACAAGGTTATTTTAAAATAAAAAAAAAAATCTTTAGTTCATATAGGAATAAGGTATAGAATATTCATAATTGTTTTTATTAAGCATGCCCACAAAGATAGATTAGTATTAGGGGGCTGGGGATTTAGCTCAGTGGTTTCGCCACCTGCTGCGCAAGCGCAAGGACCCAAGTTCGATCCCTGGTACCAAAAAAAAAAGATAGATTAGTATTCTTTTTCTCAGTTTTTACCCAAACCATATATGTCACAATTTCCATCTTTGGTTTTTAAAAAATTTCATAGAATTAATGCTAGTTCATAAAACTTTTTAGGAAGTTCTTTTCCTGTTGAATTAGATTGATATTGAAGGAAGAAAAAGGAAAACTTTCTACAAGAGTAGTTTGCTTTTAATTAAATTGTATCAATTGTTTTTAATCAGTTTTTCATCAGCCTGATGATTTGGAGCCATTTTGAGTTTTTCTGTTAGTACATGTTACATACTGACATTATTGTCCTCCCCCAAATTCATATGTGCACATCCTAATCCCCAGTGTGATAGTATTTCTACTTGAGGCCTTTGGGAGGTGATCAGAGTTGAGATGAGGTCATGAAGATGGGGCCCACCTGATGGGATTAGTGCTGAAGACAGGAGAGTGCCAGCTGTTTCCTCCCACCATTTGAGAAGGTAATGAGGTGTCCATCACAAGCCAGGAAGAATCCTCCCCAGAAACAGACCACACTGGCACTTTGATCTGGAACTTTGAGCCTCCAGAGCTGTGAGAATTACATTTCTGTTGTTTAAACCACAGTCTTTTGAGCTGACCCAGACAGTGACATAAGATAAAGTGGCTAACACGCTTTTTAAAATCAAGAGAGAGAAGTATATAAGAAATTGAAAGAATAAATAAGTCTGTAAAAGGTAGTATGTTTTTGCAAACTCATGTGACTTAAAAATATTTTTAAGAGTGGAAAATTCATTAAACATCCTGAGTAGCTGCTGAAAATTCTTGTCTTATAATTTTTTTAAGTCTGTGTTCCTAAGATATTTAAAATTCTTATTACCACAAAAAAAATCCTATTTTCTCTATAACCTTCCTGTACTATTCTATTTTGGAACTTGAGAATCAATAACTGGCTTGGAAATGAGCTCATTGTCCTTAACTTTTGCTTTATTGATTCACGATATACTTATTGAAATGTAATAAACTATTCATAAACTTGCAAAGCCCAATTTTTCTCAGAGCTTCTCCAAGGAGATGTATATGTCTTTCAAAAAAGATTATATTACCTATTCTAAATCATTTTGATTTTTATGTCTAGGTAAAATGCTGACTCACAGCCCTAGATTGCTATTTTATAGTTTAGGCAATTTTTTAAAAAGTCACTTGAGATTCTTCTGGAGAACAGCAATTTCAAGTGCATGAAGGGGTATTAAGCAGAAGGTGATAACCTACTTTGCTTCATTTTCAGGGAAGCTACAAGAGGGAAGAGACAAAAGAAATAGTGGATATGAAAATAACTTCATCTTGGCTTTCTGTGGCTCTTCTGGCCCAAAGTGCTTTAAAAAAATCATAGATATGCATAAATATATGTTTATGTATACCTTAACTTCACAGTATATCTTAGGAGGATAGCATTATAGAAAGACAATGCTTAATTTCCGCAAGATCATACAATAGGAGGAGTAATTTCCATCTTCTAACTTTTCTTGTTAAAATTAAATTCATCTTGGGCTGGGGATTTAGCTCAGTGGTTCCACCACCTGCCTTGCAAGTGCAAGGACCCAAGTTCAATCCCCAGTACCAAAAAAAAAATTTTAAATCATCTTGATAAAGTCTTAGGATCTCACAGAGTAGATCACTTAGAAAAGGATAGCAAATAAATTCTTTTATTTACTAAGTTAGGTAAGTTTGCACCTAATTTATGTACTTTTTGCCTGTGTTTTTCTAAGATCTTAGGATGTTTCAAATAGAATATAATTCCTAAATATTTTTAATCTATTTAGAAAAATCCTGGATTCAATTATAAAAAATATTGTATATAGATTCACAATGGATATGGCTTTAATATCTTGAATATACTCATATAAAGTAAAAAGAAATGCACTTTTTTTGCTACTGGAGACTGAACTGAGGCCTTCACACATCCCAAGCCCTTTTTAAAAATTTTTTATTTTGAGAGAGGGCCTCACTAAGTCACTGAAATTGCCCAGGCTATGTTCAAACTTGCAGTCCTCCTGCCTCAGCTTCCCACAATACTGGAATTACACAAATGCACCACCACACTCAGTTAAGAAATACATTTTTGTGGGGCTGGGGATTTAGCTCAGTGGTTTCACCACCTGCCTCCCAAGCACAAGGTCCCAAGTTCGATCCCTGGTGCCCAAAAAAAAGAAGTACATTTTTGTCATTCCTTCACTAGTTCAAGTTCTAGGAGAAGGCATTCCATTTTTGAATAATATCCCTACTAATGATTTGTTGACCACATATGAAAGAATTAAATGTATCAAACACCAAAGTCAAATACTACAGAATTCTACACCACTTGTTTTGGAGAATAAGAATTCAGTATTAAAGAAAACAATGTCATGTCAAATTATTATCTGTCCTTACCATTGCAGAGGACCTGGAGTGTTATAGGACCTGATGTGTTTATTTTTTTGTTTGTTTTGTTTTTGCCATACCAGGGATCAAACTCAGGACCTTGTGCTTGCCAGCCAGGTAGGGCACCACTGAGCTACATCCCCGACCTCTTGTGTATTTTTGATAAATTTATTTTTTTAAAAAGACCGAATAATGAAACTCCAATGTATTTAGAAGTGTCTTTCTGATTAACTTATGGAAATAAGACTAGCTTCTGAAAGAGAAGAACTACTAGACAAGTAACATTTTCATTCTGAAGCCACATCTTGGTGACAACTTTAAATGTGTATTTATACTGCTAATCTCTTATTTGTCCTTCTTCCTATTTTTCTTATCTTTAACCCCTTACTGCAGACTGTGTCCAAGGCATGGTGACACACATCTATAATCCCAGCCCTTTGGGAGACTGAGGCAGAAAGATCACAAGTTCAAACCCAGCCTGGGCAACTTAATAAGACCCTGTCTCAAAAGGCCTGGGAATGTAGCTCTGTGTGAAAGCCCTGGGGTCAACCACCAGTAGCAAAAAAGGAAAAAAAGAGGGCAAGGGAGTGAATGTAGGGAAAGAAGAGAAGTAGAGAGGAAATAGGGAGGGAAGGGAACAAAGTGTGAAAGGCCAGTGGAGACTAGAGATACCAGAGGCAGAGAGAGAACAAGAAAAGTTCATTCATTGCTAAGCAAACATACTTTGAAGATGTAAATAGGCAGTGACAAAGTCAGTGCCAAAAACTGAAGAAAAATTGGATAACACAAGGACTGAGAGACCTCTGGCCTACCAGTGAGGTGTTTTCAGAGTTTATGAGGAATTTGGGTATTTGCAATGGCTGACAGTAGGGATTCTTAATCTTTTATCTATGAAGTGTCTCAAAGTGTGTCAGTGGGCCACTTTGATCAGAAACACCTGGGGAGCCTGTTAAAAATGCAGTTTTCTGGAACCATTCTAAAGATTCTAAGTTAGAATCTTAGGAATCAAAGTTCTGTTTTGTCCCATAACTCCCTTCCAGGTGATCCTTGTGAACACTGGAATCTCAGAGCCATTGTTATGCAGAATAAAGCCCAAATTGCTGAGAGGCTGGTCTCAGGGCTTTATAACCTGGCTCCAGCTCAACTTTCTAATCTTTTCTCCCACTAGTCTCCTACAGAAATTCTAGTACAGCTCTAAGTATATTTTTCTTAAGTAATCCCCTTACCTAAATTACCTTCTGCTCTCTAAGTCCACCGTCATTCAAATCTAGCCCAAGTCAGTCTCATGGCCCCACAGTAATTTTCCCTGCCTCTGTCTTTCTTGGCATTATGGTTGTGCCACTCTTGACACTGTGATGTGTCTTATGAGATTGAGTACTTTGTATTTTTTGTATATTTCTATATCTTGATTGTAAGAGTGTAAATAATAATGTGAAGAGACAGAATAATAATGGACAGACATAATAAAATGTAAACTTTTTATCTTCCACAGTTTCCATAGTGCTGGGCCTGTTCACGCTTAGTTCTCAGTGAATGTTATCTGAATTAATTTGGATATATGTCAGTGAGCAGAATACTCCTCTTGATTTTGGTTGAGTATTGCTACTAGTTCACACATAGATTTCTTGGTTAAGGAATACAGGTTGGGTATGCAAGAGGCAAGTTTAATACAGCTACATTTTGCTTTTATATATAATACCAGAAAAGTTGGGTACAAGCTAAAAGGAAGTGCTTTTGAGTACTTCAACACAAATATGGGCATTATTGTTTCTATTTTATTATTGTATTATATCAAATGTTCACTTTACATTTTCTAAGGTTCACTACAGAATCTAATAGAATGCAACTGCATTTTCGTAAGAGCTCTATACCTAAAATGGTCTTCAAAAAGCAAACTATTCTTAAAGTGCAAAAATGAAAAGTTGTTTCATTTAAGATAACCTGTATGTGAGTCTTTCATAAAATAAACTTTTTTTGAAACAAAAATGTTATTTATTTTGTTTATAAATATAAATTTTTGATGCAGCAAGCTTTATAACCCCCCCTATATTTAATCACAAAATAAAGAGGATCTGTGGGATGCGTCACAAATAACCAACTTTGAGATAATATGGCCCTTCTCATTATTGGACTTTTCCATATGAATGAATTCTTTCCACTGTTAGCCAGCATTTTTCTCTTTAAATCAATTATGTATTTTTAATACATATTTATCAGTACATAATGATTACATTTATTGTGGGGAATTTGTACATATACACAACACATCTTTTAAGAAGTTTAATAAACTTGACCTATTATATCAGCCTTTTATCTGAATGCAAAAAGAATTTATATACAGAATATATCATGCCTTATGTAACAGTATTTGGGAGCTATTAGCTATTATTCTTACAACATTTGTGGTTGGGAAAGTAATTATAGACTATTTTGGGAGGAAGTATAGAGATTTTTTAGGATATGACTGACCATATTAGCAAAATGTAATTCTTGGCTCCAACTTTGGGATATTGTTTACTTAAACTTTCTACTAATGTAGATAGACTGAACCATACTTTCCAGGCAGGCGCTGTGCCACTGAGCTACATCCCCATGAAGCATACTTTCTATTCCTGGCATTCTTTTGATTTACTTTCAACCCCAAGGTAAGTCTTTTTATGAGCAGATAAGATCATCTTCAAAGTATAATTTGCTCAGTACCTGGAATTTGCTCAGTATCTTATCTTTTCTCCTGATAATAATCAGATAGTCCTCAAGACTTTTATTTCTTTTAATTGTATACATAGTTACCTTTTTTACCCAGATGTTGAAAATGTTCTAACATTTGGAGATGTGACCCCAAGCCCCCAAGGAACTTACTTCCTACAAGAGAACATGTTAGACACAGAAATACATAAGGGAATATATGGTCTGTGACACCTGGATGATGATGTCTATGAGGTATAAAACAGAACCAGAGGGAAAAGCTACTTCTGGCTGGTGTGGTAAATCTCTGTGTTTAAAAAGGCATGGCAAACAGGGCATGGTGGTGCACTCCCAGCACTGGAGGCTGATTCAGGAGGATTACCTTGACTTTGAGGCCAGTCTGGGCTGATAGTTCAAGGCCAGCTTGAACTACGTAACAAGACCCTGTCTCAGAAAACAAACAAAAAAAAAGCATAGCAAACCAAACCATTCTTTGAAGAATGGAGAAAATTTTTACAGGTATTAGAGCTGAGGGAGGGCATTTTAAGCTTTTGACTAATAGGTAATAAGATACCACTGAAAGCTTTTAAAGAAAATAGTGACATAGAACAGTTTTTAGGAGGATTCACCTGATAGTGATACATAAGGATTATAGAGAAAATAAAATTTGGTGACAAGAAGAGATTTTTTTTTAGTAGATGTAAAGGGATTAGGGC